TTTTTTTTTTTTTTTTTTAGGCAGACTCTTGCTCTGTTGCCTTGGGTAGAGTGCAGTGACATCATCATAGGTCACTGCAACCGCAAATTTCTGGTCTCAAGCAATCCTCCCACCTTAGCCTCCCACAGAGGTAGGATTACAGGTGTGAGCCACTGTGCCTGTCCTCAACTCTGTTTTTTTCTGACTTAAAATATCTCTGGCTGGGCGTAGTGGCTCATAATTATAATCCTAACACTCTGGAAGGCTGAAGTGGGACAGTTACTTGAAGCCAGGAGTTCAAGTTCAGCTGGGGCAACATAGCAAGACCTCATCTCTACAAAAAGATTTAAAAATTAGCCAGGCATTGTGGCACATACTTGTAGTATGTCCCAAGTATTCCATAGACCTCGGTGATAAGATCCCTTGAGCCCAGGAGTATGAGGTTACTGTGATCTATCGTCAGTCCACTGCACTCAGCCTGGGGGATAGAGTAAGATCTGTCTCTAAAAAAAAAAAAAAAAAAAAAAAACAGAAAAGGAAGTATCTTCCTTACAAATGCCACTACCAGGCTGGAGATGGGCATCCCCTGAACACAGCTGCTGCGGGGATGGCAGAGACAAGGCTGATTCCCAACAAAACTGTTATCTCTTGAACCTTTGATAAACTGGGCATTCTGCAAAGGCCTTCATTTAAGGGATCCTTTAATGCAAGGGTCCTCAAACTTTTTAAACAGGGAGCCAGTTTACTGTCCCTCAGACTGGTGGAGGGCCAGACTGCAGGCCCCGGGATGAGTCGGCTGCTAAGTGGGATAGACAGCAGCGGAAAAAACACCTGGCAGGCCGGATAAATGTCCAAGGAGGGCTGCATGTGGCCCGTGGGCCGTAGTTTGAGGACTCCTGCTTTAATGAAATGGAGCCGGGGTGGTCTTTGAGCTCATTTTATTATTCTTCAGGAAATTTACCATCTCTGAACCCTATTGAGCCCCTATAGTGCTAAACATGTTGAGACAGTGGTGAACAGACAGATAAGACCATTGAACTTGGTTGCCTATTGATCTGAAATTGGAAATTTAATACTTACCTAAGAGGGTTAAAGGTGAGTTCTATGTAATATTGTGTCTGGCATCTGGAATATTCTTACTGAGTGTTAATTCATTTTCTTCTTTCTTGATCCTCTGAAACTAGACCAAAAGTGGAATTGTCTAGTCTGTGCTCAGACCTCTCCAGAGAACAGATTTCTTCTCTTAATTCTGTTACTTGATTCTGTTGCCTATGTACAGAAACTCTTGAATAATATTCTCAGCAATTGCTTGACTGTCACAGACACTGGAAAAGAGCCATTATCCCTGCATATCCTTGTGTTCTTCCCGAGAATTGGCTTAAATGGCAAAGATTGAGAGTGATGGGGTTGGTTCAGCTTCCTGGAGGTTTCTTCCTGAACCATGTGGGTGTGTGTGCTCATTCATTTGACATCCAGGTTCATGTTCTCTTGCCTCACCTGAACATATATGTTCTTCTTTCCTCAACTAAGCATCTTCTCTGTGGTCTCTCGCCCAAAGCCAGTGAACAAGGAAGGGCGTTGGAGATTGAGCATATGACTTGTGCAATTTTCATCATATGAAATTATGCTTAGTGATGCCCGCAGATACAGTTAGCATGACAGAGTCTACATTCTGTTGAAAATGTACTTTTATTATACCATGCTATGGATGAGTCAGTGGAACTAAAAAATGTTCTCCTCAAAGGATGAAACATTCCAGGTTCCAGGCAGCATTGAATTATTGCCACCCAGTCCCATGGAGCAGTGGATGATGATGGCTTGCTAACACCATTAGATTTGTGTGCAATATTGGATGAGCCCAGATTTTGCCAAGCTTTGAGTCAGCAATCCCTTCCCCGTGCACCTGTCTTACCCAGGCTTCCTCCCAGTTGGAACATTGCCATCTCTTTCCCATCTGCTTATGATCAACCAATCAGTAATGAGAATGAAAGAAAGCAGAGCAGTAAAATGATCAAAGAGAAGAAATGGCAGAATGAAAAGGACAATAGCACAGAGTGTGCCGGACGGAGCTGGCTTCAGAGGGGGGCACAGGCTGCACAGATGCGAAGAAGTGTCCGCACGTCACTCCCTGCCCCAGCTCTGAGTGTCACTGTGCAGGTGGCTCATGTGTTCTTATCCCTGGAGAGGTAGCTGGCCAGGTGTCCTTTACAGACTTATATATGCAGTGGAGCTGTGGTTGGGTAACATGGAAATGCCCCTGAGAAAAGTCTGTAATATATGTACATATCAAGTGTTATCAAAAAGGAGGTTGAACAGTGTTTAAGGCTTTTTCTACGGTGCTGTCTTGAGTCAGGCTTTAGCCACTCTCCACTGCTGTTTGCTATACCTGTGTTCTATGTTTTCCCTTGCACAGGACCAGCTGTCGGCTGACATGTACAGTTTTGTGGCCAAAGAAATTGACTATGCAAACTACTTTCAAACGGTAAGCGTCCAGAAAGGTAAGACTGCTTGCTCAAAGACTGTTCACAAGAGTCATGGTGTGGGCAGGTGGGCCTGGAACTGAGTGAGAGCCCCTTGGCTGAGCACATCATGGAAGAGGGTGGGGCTTAGACTGTTCTACCTGAAAACAAATCCCGCCTTCTGTTATCCCTTGTATGGGTTTCTTCAAAGACCTGACAATAAAACCCACCTCCAACCCTCGGGATTATTACAACTCAGTCCAGTAGTTCTAAGCCAGGAGTGAGTTTGCCCTCTGCTCCAGTGGACATCTAGCAATATATGGATTTTTGTTTGTCACAGCTGGGAAGGGAGATGCTACTGGCATTTATGGAGTAGAGAGCAGAGATGTTTCTAACTATTGCATGTTGCACAGGGAAGTCATCACAGCAATGAACTGTCAAGTCCAAAATGTCAGTAGGTCTGACATTGAGAAGCCATGGTCTGTGATAACAAGAGACTTGAGAGACATAGAAAGATAAACCTTCCTCCTGGCACATATGTATATTTTTAAAACTACATTATTATCAAAGACAATGACAAGTGGTAAAAATAATAATCAGTGTGGCCTGTGTGCTAGCCTCTCATCAATCAAGGCAGATTTAGAGAGAAAGAGGAAGAAACAAGATCTGAGTCATCTAAACTTGAGTAATCTGGTGCAGATAATTAGGACCCTGGCTGTTTACTAGAGTTGGTGCAAGGCTAGTAAAAATTTAAAAAATTTGTCCGGGCACAGTGTCATGTCTGTAATCCTATTATTCTAGGAGGCCAAGGTGGGTTGAACTCAGGAGTTTGAGACCAGCCTGAGCAAGAGTGAGACCTGTGTCTACTAAAAATAAGAAAAACTAACTGGGCATGGTGGCACACACCTGTAGTCCCCAATACTTTGCTGAGGTAAAGAGGGTGGCTTGAGCCCAGGACTTTGAGGTTGCTATGAGCTATGATGCCACAGCACTCTACCCAGGGTGACAGAGTAAGACTGTTGCAAAAAACAAAAACAAACAAACAAACAAACAAACAAAAAATTGAGAACAAAAATACCAATCAAAAAAGAAAGAAACAATTATGCTCACCTGCTTTCAGTGTTGGGGATAAAAGGCTCCCACCTATAAGGTCTCTATTTATCATCAAGTATCTAAAGAAGGGAAAAGAAAGGGCAGGAAGGAAAAGAGAAGAACAAGGGGAATCCTGAAACGTTCCAATGCTTTGACAGAAGGTAGCAGTGAGCTCTTGGCAGCTTTCCATTTTCATTAGGTGTCCAGCTTGTAGACAATCCCTCCTACCCTGAAAAGGTGTTGCTTGCCCTCACTTCCGACTTGGAAGTTTATTCTAAAGTAGTAGTATTTTTTCAAGTGTATCCCAATGTTTCTATTTGTGCAAATGTTTAATTTAATTTAATTTTTTTGTATTTAACCAGAGTCAGTGCAGACAAATGTTTAATTTTAGAGTTTCTTAATGAACTTATTGACATTCCAAGCTTCATGAGCCTACCTCATTATCATTTGTGTACCATTTATTGCAATATTCTGATTTTTAAAAAATATATATATTAATTTTGCTTTGGTTTTAGTTGGGGATCATCGTGTCTGCTGTCTACACCAAGCTCACAAACAGAGGCTCCCTCCCCTCTGTTCCCACATGCCTGATTTTGGAGGGCGATGGGAATAAAGTAACTTTTGTTTGTGGGTTTTCACATGCTCTTACCAACATTTTGGCCACTTTGTACTAATGGGATAGCAGAATAAAACACTTTAAAAGAATCTGTTCTTTGGGTTGCATCTCCATAGCTAAAGTAGTTTTACCTCTGGAGGTGTGCGAAGAGAGTTGTGGCTCAAGCCTCCAGTTTTCCGATCAGTTATATGCTAAACTGACTTTGCAGAAGCCAAGATAACATACAGGGTAATGGCCTTAACGTGTGTATCTTTTAGGCAAATGAATTTCTAAACTGTTTTCCATTTACGTTCTCCTGTGGCTGCACCTGTCTCTTAGGCAGGGTGATGGTGAAGGCAAACTCATCAGGGCCCACTCCTTGGTTCTTCTGCCTTGCAAGTTCCCACTGGGGACGTCTTCATTACAGGGCTAGTGAGGAAGCATGCCCATCGGTTTAGGTAGATTAGAGGAGGGAACTGGGCACTATGCCCCCTTCCCCGGTGTAAGTACCTTCCTGCTACATATGCCAAAGGTGATGCTTGCCTGTGTTTTCCCAGCTGATCGAAGTGCAAGCTGAGTACCACAGGAAGTCACTGACCCTCCTGCAGGCTGTGCTGCCTCAGATCAAAGCACAACAGGGTGAGTGCAGCCTTCTCTGGATAGGGGAGGGCTGGGGACCCTGCTTGCTTGCCTGGGTGAGGCCAATTCCCTCACCCCAATGGTGGTCACCTTATGCTCTGTCCAGCGGGGGCCCCTGCAGATAAGCCTCTAGGACTTCCAGGCTGGGGTCTCAATCCAGTTGTGTGGCAGAACACATGCACACACACTGCCCCCCCACAGGGAGGCATGAGGGGTGTGGGCAGGGGTGTGTGTGACATTAGCCCCAGCAGCTCTGGGCGCAGCTGGATGGCCTTTCTCCCTCTCCAGTCCCCCTGTCATCCTCCAAAACAGATGGGGGCTCCACCGGGCCTCCATTTCTCTAGAAGTCTTAGAAGAATCTCGAAGGAAGATTCCAGCATGACTGACCATCTCAAACTGCTGATAGACCCCTTTCTCACTCCTCCCCCTCAGAGGCCTGGGTGGAGAAACCCTCCTTCGGGAAGCCCCTGGAGGAACACCTCACCATCAGTGGCCGGGAGATCGCCTTCCCCATCGAGGCGTGTGTGACGATGCTGCTTGAGTGTGGGATGCAGGAGGAGGTAGGTGTGAACGGCCACCCCCGGCCGGCCGGAGCAGGTGCAGAGCAGGTCTCCTCCCCCACGGGACAGGCTCCTCAAGACCTTTCCGTGTCATCTCTGCTCCGGACTTTTCAGATCCCAATGTGTTAGGACAATGGTACAGCCTCCTCTCCTGCACGTGCTGGTCCTGCCTTTACCATTAGGCCTCACTTTTACAAGCACCGTGAGACACAATTAGCCATGAGGAATTGATGGCCTTATTCTCGCCATCTTTCCGCACCATTAATGTGATCTGCTGCTATAGCGTTCTGTCCATCTTCCCGTTGTTTAGTATGTTACCTAACTTTCAGAATAGAACTCTTCACCTTGGTGATCACTCCTCTTTTATAGAGATCTTGAAAACATGGTTGAAGATACTAAGAGCACTTTTTAAAAGCCGAGTGTATGGCTCGGCGCCTGTGGCTCAGTGGCTAGGGCACCAGCCACATACACCAGGGCTGGTGGTTTTGAACCTGGCCTGGAGCCTGCCAAACAACAATGACAACTGCAACAACAACAACAACAAAATAGCCAGACGGTGTGGCAGGTGCCTGTAGTCCTAGCTACTTGGGAGGCTGAGGCAAGAGAATCGCTTAAGCTCAAGAGTTTGAGGTTGCTGTGAGCTGTAACACCATGGCACTCTACCAAAGGTGACATAGGGAGACTGTCTCAAAAACAAACAAACAGACAAAAAAAGCCACATGTAAAAAAAGTCTACAAGAAATTGGTGGCTGTGGTTATAATTATCACCCTGTAAATCATTCCCTGGGAGACAGATCTGAACTTTGCTCGGCCATAGGCTATTTTTACATCTTCATCTTCCTTCCATCTGATCAATCAATCCATATTTATTTAGGGCATGTTACATGTTTATCACTGAGCAAAGTATGAAAGAAGGAGGTGGGACATAGAAACTTGTGTTGGGGGGATGAGTCTCGCCTTCCTCCATTGAGCTTCATCAAACCGAGACAACGTGTGCATCTCTGAGTAAGCGCTAGATCACATGCGGAAAATGGTGAGGCTTGTGGGAGAGAAGGGAGCAAAAAGCTCATAGATGTGGCTGCTCCGTTGCGCTAGGCCTAGTCCACATTCTGGATATTCAGAGAGGAACAGGAATAAATGTGTGTTTTTTGGCCACACGTTTTTGCTGGGCATTCCATGTTTGTTGCCAATTAAAAAAGGAAGGGAGATGGACTGGGCCTTTTCTTTTCCCATTATTATTTTTTTCATTGTAGAAAAGCATAGACCCATAAAGATAAAATAATGATCATCTCCCAGTTTATGGTCAATCTTGTTTTGTCTCTGCCTCCCAAATCCCTGCCTTGGATATTTTGAAGTAAATCTCAAACATCTATCATTTCATTAAGAATGCATTCATGGCTTGGTGCCTGTAGCTCAGCGGCTAGGGAGCCAGCCACATACACTGGAGTTGGCAGGTTCGAATCCAGCCCTGGCCCGCCAAACAACAATGAGAACTAGAACCAAAAAATAGCTGGGTGTTGTGCGGGTACCTGTAGTCTCAGCTACTTGGGAGGCTGAGGCAAGAGAATCGCTTAAGCCCAGGAGTTGGAGGTTGCTGTGAGCTGTGACGCCACAGCACTCTACCCAGAGCAACATAGTGAGACTTTGTCTCAAAGAAAAAAAAAAATGCATTCATATGTATCTCTAAAAGATAGAGTGTTTTCAAATATAATAGTATTACCATATCGAAATCGTAACTAATTTATTAGTATTGTCAAATCTGTAATCAGTATAAACTGGGTCTTGGACATTCTCTTGGGCATCTCCCACCCTGTCCCCCGACTCTCCTGCCTCTTCCCTCTCTGGGCCATTCCACGTCCTGCCAGACCTCACTCGGCCACTTACAAATCTCCCCACTTTGTATCAGCTCTTCTCCTGTAGTTGGAACTAGGCTCAGGTTTCCTATCTTCTTTCATCCTGCCGCAACCTATTCCTTTGCGCAGTTGGTTTTGGATTTATGTAACCCACTTGTTTAAAAAAGCTTCCATTGTTATGGTGTGAACAATGACCACCAGACAGATAATTTTGAAACCCAGTTGGGAGTCTTTATTGACCAGCAGGCTGGCTGTCACCCTGAGCAAGGAGAGCAGCTGCAACCAGCTTGGAATCGGGGTTTTTATAGGGTTGGCCGATGCAAGCAAGTAAGCAAGCAGTCGGTTATTGTAACCGACCTTCACAGAAGCAGACTTTGCATTTGCAGTGAGCAGATAAGCAAACAATTTTTCACAATTCCGTAAAGTTCAGTAAGTTCTTATCCCATCTCCCCATTCTTCCCTCTGTCTCCTGCCCCCTGTCACAGGGCCACGGCCGCCATCTCACCACCACTTGCCACTTCTGCTGCTTTGCCAACACCTACTTATCTTCTTCTTGGGGTGTCACATCTGCTCCCATCCCTGGGCTAACACCACCCTCAGTGGTCCCCAGGGACCTCCCCCTCCATTGTCGGACCAAATGACTTAGTCCCAGCGTCCTGGGCTACGTTACCTCCTGGTGCTACCAATGGAGCCATCCTTGAGATGAGTGGCCCTCCCGGGTCCCCTTCTTGCCTCTGACCTCTGGGGCCTCATGGTCCTTGTTCGGCACCTCCACTTGCTCTACCGTCCTAGAACTGTGCTTGAGCCTCGGTGATGAGTCTTCTGGGGAAGGCGCCACTCTGTGTTCTCCACCATTCTTCACTATTTCTCTGCAGATTTTCCTCATGCATCTCTACAACTGGACTCCCTAGCTGTCTTAACTATGTCCTCCTCCGCATGGGTCTTACGCTTCTAAAGGCTTACACTTGACACATCTGTTTCCTTCTCTTTGGCACTGGCCATCACCTGATCCTGCTGGCACTCCTTGCATAGAGATGGCATGTTTTTATTAAGAGCTAAGCCGCCTCTCTGTTGCATCCTCCAGCTTGTTGGCTTTGTCCTGGCAGCCTTACTCATACACTAGTCCAACTGTGTTTATGTAGCTTTCTCACATACATGTCAAAGAGCTTTGCACCTCTATTTATCCAACACACCCTGTTTTGAGAAGGGAGCTGGTAATCCCAGCAGGCCATAAGCTCAGTATTCCAGACCAGGAACATTTTCTTCTAAAGGAACTTGTAAGTCTGAATGGCCATAAATCATCAAAGGAGGGAGATTCTGCCAGCATATTTCTCAGCCTATGCTGAGATTGCTTCCCAGAATACAGGGAGTTAAGAGAATGGATGGGTCTTTAACCCACGTCAGTTTACCGTGACGTAGAGGCTTCTTTCCAGCTCTGACCTGCATCAGCCTTCTCTTCCACCCAGCCTTCTGCCCTTCTCTTCCTTTCTCATAGCTCACGTTTGCTCTGAAAGGTGCAGTGGTTCTCTCAGAGGAGGTGGCAGTGATTAGAAAGTAACTTTTAAAAATGCAATATGGAGGGACTAACATTCATTTATTCAACAAATATTTACTGCAGTAGGCCCTGGGGACACAGCAGTGGGCAAAGTCCAGTCCCTGCCCTTGAGCTGCTTATGTACAAAGGAGGAGACATTTGGAAAACAAGTAGCTGTGATACCGGAAAGTGATGTTGGACAAGCGCATCTACGAGGTTTTGGAGGAAAGGAGGTAGACTCCGGTCTGTCTGCTGCGCTCTCATACCTGGGAGGCGCAGAGCTGCCTACTGACCCTCTATCCTGTTGGCAGGGACTCTTCCGAGTAGCCCCCTCTGCCTCCAAGCTGAAGAAGCTGAAAGCCGCCCTGGACTGCTGCGTGGTGGACGTGCAGGAGTATTCAGCAGACCCCCATGCGATTGCAGGTGGGTGCCCATGCCCTCTTGGCCCAAAGCTTCTGTGTGCTGTAGGGACCCATGGGAAAGGAATAAGCATGGAGGCTGTGTGGCTATGTGTCTGAGACACTTAGGCCAGTGGTGATATGCTTCAGACATGTCTACTCAGGGCCCAGTTCTAGGCCTGGGTGCTGTGGCCCCTTGAAGAGAAGAGGTGGTGGTGGGAAGTAAGAGGACTATGTGGTTGTCAGCCCCTGGCAGAGCCTTGTACCTGTTCACGTGGGAAGCCACTCTGTGATCTTGGCATAGTGGTTGAGGGGGCTCTTCCCCAGGGGAGTCCTTATGGGCAGTGCTGGCTGGTGGACCTGTCTCTTCTGTGTCAAAACGGTTCACAGGCAATGTTGTAATCATACCTAGGAGCTTTGAAATCTTACCTCCGAGAGTTGCCAGAACCTCTTATGACCTTTGAACTCTATGACGAGTGGATCCAGGCCTCCAAGTGAGTACCGCTTTCTTCTGGACTGACTCTGGTTGGAGTTTATTTGGAAGTATGTACAGAAATTAGGAATGCGTCTAACTGGTGATCTAGCAACCCCATGGCTTGGTATCCATCACAAAGGATTACTTCTGCCTGCATGTGACAAGGAGGAGTGCACAAGGATGGTGACGGTGGTACTGTTTGGAACAGCGGGAGCCCAGAGTTGCTAAAGGTGCATTGGAGAAAGGACTTGGGAAGAGGCTAAATAAACCAGGCTCTGTCTAGAGCATGTCACACTCAGCAGCACTTAAAAACTAGGTAGAGCTAACTCTAACCTAGTCATATAACAGGAAAAGGTTTGGGGATTATTGAGTGAAATAAAGGAGTTAAGAACATGTGTGATATTCTATTTTTGCAAAAAGGGAAATAGACATCAAACAAAGGCAAAAGAATGAAATTTTAGGAGTGCCTCTATATACCTGTAAATGCATAAAAGAAGGTTCCAGAAGGGCTAACACAGGCTGATGGCAGTGATTCCTTCTGGTAAGAAGGATAGGACCAGGAATGGGTACTAGGGTCTTAGCCTTATCTATAATAGTTAAAAATATTTTAACAACATCTAATGAGCTGTGAATATAAAAGCACAATATGTGGGCAGTAGCTTATGTCTGCAGTGCACCTCTGGAGGGTGCACTGAGGGAGAGGCCACAATGGTGGGAGACGGAGGACTCTACAGGTGTGTTGGGAACAATGAGAATGCAGAGAGCTTTTGCAGCTGGTGCCAAGCACAGTGTTCAACTATAGGCACACTTGAGCTATACTTAAACTTGCATGGTGCACTTAAATTATGTTGGTCCAAAAAGAGATTAAAATAGAATATATTTACTGCACTTTGAGCATGTTTTGAAAGTAATTTAATTAATGATCTTTAAAAATTCTTGCAGCGCACTAGTTGAAAATCACTGGCTAGGCTGGGCACGGTGGCTCATGCCTATAATCCTAGCACTGTGGGAGTCCAAGGAGGGTGGATTGCTTGAGCTCAGGAGTTTGAGACTAGCCTGACTAAGAGTGAGACCCTTTCTCTACTAAAAACAGAAAAACAGTCTGGGCGTCATGGTGGACACCTGTAGTCCCAGCTACTGAGGAGACTGAGCAAGAGGACCATTTGAGCCCAAGAGTTGAGGTTGCTATGAGTTATGATGCCGCAGCACTCTACCCAGGAAACAGAGTGAGATTCTGTCTCTAAAAAAAAATTAAAGTAATTCTGCCTAGATCAGGGGTTTCTAACTCTCTGTTTGCATGGGCATTGTCCTGGGAAGTTTTAAGATACCACTGCCTGAGCCTTTTTTTTTTTAAAGATTTGGATAGAGTTGGTCTAGGTTCTTTGTTTCAGAGCTCCCAAGGCTGTTGGGCTGATAACCATTAACCTTTGGTGAAGCTGAGTTTCACCAGAGGGCAGCACCAGCTTTCTAGGGGATTATATTTCAGCCCAGCTCAGCAGGACACAGACAGGTCTGCCTTGGGGTTAGGACATCTGGCCGTCAGTCAGAGATGGAGCCAGGGATCACCAGCACAGTATGAGATGGCTTGAAACTCAAAAAGGACACATCTTTAGAAGCCCTGTAAATTAAATGCTTTTATACTGAAGTCATGCAGTGCAGAGGCTGAGAGATACTTGGAAGAAGATTGCAAAAAGTGCATCCCCGGCTCCATCTCGACTGCCAGTTGTCCCACTCCAAGGCAGACCTGTCGGCATTGTGCTGAGTTGGTCTGAAATACAATCCCCTGTAAGGCTGGTGCTGCCCTCTGTGCCAGATGTCAAGGAACTCAAACATAAGCATGGATCTCCCTGACTGGTACCCTGTAGCCCTGCTATGCCAGAGCAGGTGTCTGCCCTCTGCCCTCACCTGCTCCCCAGCACAGGTTCACATGGGTGATATGATGTGTACAGAGGAAGTTCTGTTCGAATAGCACAGGACAGAAGGAGAGCACAGAGAAGGAAATAATAATAACCAGTTTTTAAAATAATAATGTCCCGATGTTGTCAGTTATGATGGTTGGCTCCTGATTGTTAAATATTATTATTACGATGACTAGTTAATATAATTGCCAATGAGACTTCATTGATAAGTCATCACCCAATTTCCTATCAATCTCCCAGTATCCAGGAGCAAGACAAGAAGCTTCAGGCTCTCTGGAACGCTTGTGAAAAATTGCCAAAGGCCAATCACAACAACATCCGGTAAGTGGATGTAGGGCTTCAGACACAGCTCCCCTGCTGTGAGTCTGGGTAAGTAGGCACAGCCAAGGTGTGGCTACACCGGGGGCTCTTCTAAACCTCAACTGTCCTATCAGGCAGGGGTATTTACTACCATTGTGCAGATAAGAAAACAGACTGAATGTGGTTATTTGACTTTGGAGGCCACTATCTGTGGGCTAATTTAGTTAAGTACTTTGATTTGCAAGGAACAGAAATGAATGCAGGTGATCTTAAGATGTTGGGGACTGGCTGGGGGCCTATAGCTCAACCGGCTAAGGCGCCAGCCACGTACACCTAAGGTGGCAGGTTCGAATCCCCAGCCCGGATCCGCCAAACAACAATGACGGCTGCAACCAAAGGGCGTTGTGGCGGGCGCCTGTGGTCCCAGCTACTTGGGAGGCGGAGGCAGGAGACTTGCTTGAGCCCAGGAGTTGGACGTTGCTGTGAGCTGTAATGCCATGGCACTCTGCCCAGGGGGACAGCTTGAGGCTCTATCTCCAAAAAAAAAAAAAAAAGATGTTGGGGACTTATGGTCAAGATGTTTTTGCACAGCTGGGTGAAGCTGACCCTCAGTAGGGGTGGAGGTGTCCCTGAGCGACTCCATAGGAAGGAGAGGTGTGGGAGAGTGTTCCCCAGTGCTCCCGCGTTCACAAGTCCCAGATTCCACAGCTGCCTCTCACTTTTCTTGTCACCACCCAAGATTTTACTTCCCACCACATTGCAGCTCGTCTCCCCGTGCCTGGCTCCCGCTGTTTCACACCCCACTCCACTTCTCCATCGCTCTGTCTTGCCAGCGCCCCTCCCAGCGCTGCACCCCTCCCAGCGCTGCACCCCCTCCCTGCTCCTTCGTGTGTAGACTTTCAGCATCAGTACCTGCTGCCATCTGCCTGATTATTTCTGTTTTCCTGTTAAAAGTCCCAAGAGTTATGTAATGACGGTTCCTCAAAATATGAAACCTATAATTCACATACAATCCATATGAACCAGAGAACCGAAGGCTTGGCCTTGGTGTTTCACACCCATGTTCATAGCAGCCTCATTTAGTGTAGCAAGAAGATGGGAACCCAGATGTCCATTGCTGGATAACCGCAGGAACAGACAGTGGCGTACTCATGTAGTGGAGTATGAAATTCTGATTCTTACCACAGCAGGGACGTGGGATGAATGTCAAGGACGTGATGCCACGTGAAATAAGCCAGACACATACTGTGTGATTCTACGTATGTCAAGTACCTCAAGTAGCCAGACTCAGAAAATAGGAGGGTCGTGGCCAGGGAAAGGGAAAGGGGAGGTTGCTGTTTAATGAGCCCAGAGTTCAGTGAGGGACGATGAAATCGATCTGGAGATGGATGGTAGTGATGGTTTCATGACCTTGTGAACGTATGTTACGCCACTAAATCATATACCTAAAAGTGGTAAAATAGCAAACTTTGTGTATATCATACCACGCTTAACAAAAGCAACCCTGGCTCGGTGCCCGTAGCTCAGTGAGTAGGGAGCCAGCCACATATACCAAAGCTAGCAGGTTCGAGCCCAGCCCGGGCCTTCTAAACAACAATGACAACTGCAACCAAAAGTTGCCAGGCATTGTGGCGGGCACCTATAGTCCCAGCTACTTGGGAGACTGAGGCAAGGCAATCATTTAAGCCCAAGAGTTTGAGGCTGCTGTGAGCTGTGACACCACAGCACTCTACCGAGGGCAACATAGTGAGACTGTATCTCAAAAAATAAATAAATAAATAAAAACAATCTCAAGAGTGAGAATCAGGTCAGATCAACTGATTAACTCATGGCATGTTGCTAATGCCAGCCAGTGGATTCACTGCCCTTGACATAGGTCCCTGGTGTCTCTGTTGTATCCTTTTGGCCTCCTGGAGGGCAAGGCATGGTCAGAAGTCGGGTGGAGTCATCACAGTGATGGCTTAGTGACCACATGGTAGGGCCCTGACTCTGCGGCATTTTCTACCTGGCTGACAGAAGATGAACCCTCCACCCCACTGAGTCATTTCTCTGTGAGCCAAGCAAAAAAGGGTTAGGACCACAGCCTTTTGTAACAGAGTACAGGAGAAAATCTGTGCCCCTGGGCGGTCCTGAGACTTCTTGTCAGGGCCTGGCAGATTTTTTTTTTTTTTTTTTTTTTTTGAGACAGAGCCTCAAGCTTTACCCCTGGGTAGAGTACCATGGCATTACAGCTCACAGCAACCTCCAACTCCTGGGCTCAAGCGAGTCTCTTGCCTCCGCCTCCCAAGTAGCTGGGACCACAGGCGCCCGCCACAACGCCCGGCTATTTTTTGGTTGCAGCCATCATTGTTGTTTGGCGGGTCCGGGCTGGGGATTCGAACCCACCACCTTAGGTGTACGTGGCTGGCGCCTTAGCCGGTTGAGCTATAGGCGCCGAGCCGGGCCTGGCAGATTTTTAGTGAACTTCGTTAGAGCTACTTTCTGTTCCTAATTTGTGCTCTTTTAAAAAAAAAAAAAAACTATCGAGCTGTGATTCATGTACTATTGCACCTTTATCGTTATTTTCATGTATTTAATTTCAGATTAATATAAATGTATATATAGCATGGCCATGAAGAGTGTGTGCCTTTTAAGTCGCACACTATTTTAAATTGCACACGAATTTTATGGCCACCTTGTACCATTAGTTTACATTGTACCTTTTTAAAGTGTATAATTTAATGGGGTTTTTTGGGGGGTGGGGTTCGCAAAGTTGTACAGCTATCACTTCTGTGTAATTTTAGAACATTTCCATCACCCCCAAAAGAAACCCTGTTACCATTAGCGGTCACTCACCCTTTCCCCCAACCCTGTCCCTAGCAACCACTAATTCTCCTTCTGGCTCTCCACCTTTGCTATTCTGGACACTTCATAGAAATGATAAAATGTGTGGGCTTTCGTGTCTGGCTGCTTTCATTTAGCATAACGTTTTTAGGGTTCATCTGTGTTGTGCCTTGTGTTAGTAATCCCTTTTCTGGCTGAACAGTATTACATTGGGTATCCCACATTTTATTTATCTGTCCATCTTTCAATGGGTTATTTGGGTGGCTTCCATTTTTTTGGCTATTATGAACAATGCTATGATGAAAAAATTTACGTTCAGGCTTGGTGCCCTTAGCTCAATGGGTAGGGCGTCAGCCACATATGCCGGGGATGGCGGGTTCAAACCCAACCTGGGCTAGCTAAAAGAACAATGACAACTACAACAAAAAAATGGCTGGGTGTTGTGGTGGGAGCCGGCAGTCCCAGCTACGTGAGAGGCTGAGGCAAAAGAATTGCTTAAGCCCAAGAGTTTGAGGTTGTTGTGAGCTGTGATACTATGGCACTGTACTGAGGGCAACATAGTGAGACTCTCAATAAAAAAAAAAAGAAAGAAAGAAAAAACTTATGTTCAATTTTGTGCCTGGACAAATTTCTCTTGGATATATTTGTAGGAGTGAGATTGCTGGATCCTACGCTAAGTCTATATTTGCCTTTTTCTTTATTGGATCTTTCCAGAAAGCCCAACTGAGGGTAATTCCAGGGGACACCACTCCTGGCATGCATATGTCCCTGTCAGCAACACCTCAACACTTTGTCACTTCTGCACACAGGGGGGGATGCCAGTCATGGTCATTCTGTACTGCAACAAAAGGAAACAGGATGGCTCTGTGGCCAGGGTCAACATCTACCTGAGTTAAGGGCTGTGTCTATGTTGAGAAAGAGAATACAGAATTCCCATTTCCTGATGTGTGATGCATTTCAAGGTGTGAGTCTCCTTGTCAGTAAGACCTGTGACAGGAGGGAAGTTTTTACTCAGGCCTCCGGGAACACAGCTGGTACCGAGCCCTGGTTAAAGCTGGCCTTTCTGATTTCCTTTCAGATACTTGATCAAATTTTTATCCAAGCTGTCAGAATATCAAGATGTAAACAAGATGACCCCCAGTAACATGGCAATTGTTTTAGGACCCAACCTCCTGTGGCCACAGGCAGAAGGGTGAGTTCAGGGTGGGGAGGCTGTCTGGGGGCTGCAGGGCCTGGACAGGGGGCATGGGGATGGCTGGGGCCCCAGATAACTGCTGGCCACCTGTGCTTTTCATGTGCTGTATCTATCATGTCCTGTTTCTTTTCGGGGTTGGGGAGGAGGTGCAGAATTCTATAGATTCTTTTTTGTTGCTGTCGATGGTCTCAAAGATCTGAAGTGAGGGTCTTTTCTGAGCTAATCTAAGTCAGGGTCCGGAGGGGAGGAAGGGGGTGAGGGCCGTGATAGCCCAGGTAAGACAAGCTCTTCCAGGCCCCCGGAATACTCCATCATCCTAGTGTCAGAATTTAGAGAGCTAGAGGAGCAAGAGCCCGGGAGTGATGAGAAGGAAGGCATGTTGAAGACCAGCCTATCTGTTTTGTTGTTAATGGGCGTTGCTCATTTGCCCCCAGGGTTGTCCCCATTCTGTAGACGGGGAAGAGAAATTCTGAAAGGTGAAGTGTCCTTCTCAAACCCTGGTCTGCACAGTTCCAGGGCAGGGCCCTTCCCAGGTTCTGTGGCCAGAGGGCCGTGGGCCTGTCTGCAGCCTTCGTGGGTAATCCCACCCTGTCCTTCCTCTGCACTTACAGGAACATCACGGAGATGATGACCACAGTGTCCCTGCAGATCGTCGGGATCGTGGAGCCCATCATCCAGCACGCAGACTGGTTCTTTCCCGGGGGTACGTAGGGCTGCCGAGGGTGGGGGTAGGAGGCAGGGAGCTTTGGAAACTAAATACCTTTGCCCATGGGTTTTTGTGTGTTTGTTTTGAGACTATCGCTTACTCTCACTGCCCAGGCAACTCTAGGGCAGTGGCGTCATCACATCTCACTGCAACTTCAAACTCATGGGTCCAAATGATCCTCCTGCCTCTCAAAATGTAGCTGGGACTATAGCTGTGCACCACCATGCTTGGCTAATTTTTTAAATTTGTGTAGACACAAGGTCTCACAATGTTGCTCAAGGCTGGTTTTAAACTCATGGCCTGAGCTATCCTCCCCCCTCAGCCTCCCAAAGTACAAGGATTACAGGCTTGAGACATCACCTTTTTGTTGTGTTGAGTCTCCTACACACAAGCAGAAATACAGAAACGCATGCTGGCACCAGGGTAAGGTCTGGTGGCGGCTTCCTGCTCTCTCATCCGTGTTTCAAGGGAAGTTCTAGCCTACAGGTGCCCACAATGTGTACTGATCATGTCTGTGGCCTCTCCTGGTCTAACAACCCACACCATGATTTCCTCCTGTCTACGAATCCTGCCATACTAGCACAGGAAGGAAAGAGAGGCCCTTTCTCTGCTCCAAACCCTTCACTCTTTTAGATGCAGAAGGAGCCTGAGAACAGAGATGAATAGGAACATTTATTCAGGACTTACAACCACCTGGTTGCCCGATAGCTCTCCTTTTGCTACCTTAACCTTCGAGAAGCCCCTCAGCATGTAATGGTGGGGCTCAAAGGCACCGAGATTCTTTTTTTCACCTGCTTCAAATTTGGGCTCTCAAGGCAACTTCCCTAAGAGGAAGATTCAGAGATGTTCTGAGCCATGGAAGCCCCATTCCGTAAGCAGAGGACTTTCAGGGTAGTTACACTAAATTTGGTGTTTGCTTTAAAAAAAAAGAAATTGGCATCATACCTTATGTTTGGCAGGTATTAAGGGAATGCTTTTGGCTGTGTTATAGCAGCCATTAACAAATATGAGGATAAAATGTTATAGTTTTGTGCCCTATCCTCTAGAGCAGCAGTTCTCAACCTGTGGGCTGCAACCCACAGGAACTGTATTAAAAGGCTGCGGCATTAGGAAGGTTGAGAACCACTGCTCTAGAGCTAATCAAATTACTCTGATCTGACAGTGAAGTTTAGTTATCTTTCTTTCGCTTCATGTGTTTTGACTGTGAGAGCTCCAAATTGCTGATTTCTGAAGAATTCTGTGATGATACAAACAGTTAGTTGGACATAGGAAATCAAGGTAACAAAGGAAACTAGATGGGTGTTGAAGGCAGTGGTTCTGCAGGCCCTGTGGGTGCGCTAGCTCGGCACCATCGCAGACAGACAGAGCTGTGCAGAGCTGGTGGGTTCCCACTGACCAGGAAAGGGTGGGATGAGTACGTCTGTGCGCTGCTTTGAAAGCCAACAAACAACCTTAATGAAATCGCATACCATTTCTAACCTTTTTATTTTCTTTGGTTTTCTAGAAAGACATTATCATCATTCTCTAATTTTATTTTCTTGACTAATTTCACTGGCCAGCATTTCTCAAATAATGTTAAATAATATTGATGATAGTGGGCATTGCCATTTTTTTCTGATTTGATTAGGACTGCTCTGAGGTTTCACTCTGAAGCATCAGGTTTGAGAAAGATAATTCAGTTTCAGAAGGTATCCATCTATCCTGTTATTACTAAGTTTTTCTTTTTAATCACAAATAAACATCATTTATTAAATGCTGGCCTTTATTAAACACATTAAATCACATTTGTTCTTGTCTTTGGCCTACTACTATGATGAATTGTATCAATAAGATGAATTAGTATCAATAGATTAGCTAATGTGGCACCTGAGGATGACTTTTCCTAGGGGGTAACCTATGAAGGAAGTGTCTGCTCATTCTTCTCCTGCCCAGGAAGGGCGCGACAGACCAAGAGTTTACCTATACCAATTCTTTCTTTTCTGCAGAGATAGAGTTCAACATTACAGGCAATTATGGGAGCCCAGTACACGTGAACCATAATGCCAACTACAGCTCAATGCCCTCCCCAGACATGGACCCTGCTGACCGGCGCCAGCCCGAGCAGGCCCGTCGGCCCCTCAGCGTCGCCACAGATAACATGATGCTGGAGTTTTACAAAAAGGATGGGTATGACCTGGTATCCCTTTCTCAGCATTGGGGTTTGGGGGAGAGGTGGGAGGTGGAGGTAAAATGTAAGAAAAACAGAATTATAGGAAGGCTGCACTTACTCTCATCAGCTTAGTGACTTGTAGCAATGAAATTGTCACTTCATCCTCGATACCTTCATCTGTACTCTCACGAGTGAGTTTATTTGGCTGGTTTCACTTTGGGCCAGAAGTAAATGCAGGCTTCTTAGCTGACACAGTTGAGATTGGTATTAATTAGTTCTAGTCAAAGAAATAAAAGTCAGTCAACAAGGGAAATTCAAAAAAAATACATAATCACCTTATTTGGACTCAACGTGTATATGTGCATATCAATTCTCAAATTTTCAGGCATTTTAGTTTTATTATAGATCTGCTCATTTACATCCTTGCACAAAGAATACCTTTATTTTGGGCAGTGCCTATGGCTCAGTGAGTGGGATGCTGGCCCCATACACTGAGGGTGGTGGGTTCAAACCCAGCCCTCGCCAAACTGCAACAAAAAATAGCTGGGCATTGTGGTGGGCGCCTGTAGTCCCAGCTACTCAGGAGGCTGAGACAAGAGAATTGTCTAAGCCCAGGAGTTAGAGGTTGCTGTGAGCTATGATGTCATGGCACTCTACCTAGGGTGACAAGGTAAGTCTCTGTCTCTGAATAATAAATAAATCAAAGAATACCTGTATTTTATTTATTTATTTTGAGACAGAGTCTCACTTTATCACCCTTGGTAGAGTGCTGTGATGTCTTAGCTCATGGAAACCTCAAACTCCTGGGCTTAAGCGATTCTCTTGCCTCAGCCTCCCAACTAGCTGGACTACAGGTGCCCACCACAACACCCGGCTATTTTTTAGAAACAAGGTCTCACTCTGGCACAAGCTGGTCTCAAAACTATGAGCTCAGGCAATCCACCTGCCTTGGCATCCCAGAGTGCTAGGATTATAGGCATGAGCCACCATGCCCAGCGAAGAGTACCTTTAATTACGTACTTTAACATTCCCTGTTTCAATCTCTTTAAAAAAGAAAACCTAAAACTCAAAGCAGTCTGAGTATAAAATATCTCCAGGTTTTTAAGAGGTTTTCCTATCTGTTTTTATTAAACACCTGTACCTATTTTGGTGCAGTGGGGTAAGAGAATCATAAGTTCATTCAATTTAGTTTGCATAGAAACAGCTATCTCCATACTCATAATTAAATATTTAACTACATCGTACAGTTCCTGTAACAAGGAGAGTGGGCCTAACTAGGCTTCCTGCCGAGCACAGCTGACTCATGGTGGGCCCCAACTCAGTTAGGGCAGGCAGGGGATGTGGACATGTGGAGTGTTCAGATGATGCAGGCGATGGGGAAGATGTCTTACAGAAAGAGTGGGTTGCACTGGTTGATCAGCCACGCCAGTGAAGTAAACTTTGGTTAGGAGTGAAAAATCACTATGGTAAATGCAATTTTGCAGCTGTTCCTTAAGGATAGAAGCGGGTATGAGAAATGCAGGCAACAGGAAGTTACATAGCTGCATCCCTCCCCTGTCCTGACAGGCCGCTGGGCAGCCAGCAAGATCTGGCTGATAGGCCGATGGCCTGAAGGGCTTCAGAGGGAAAGCCCTTCTTCTTTCTGAATGGAAGTTGGCATTGGAGACCTAGAGTCAGCAGAGGAGACCTAGGCCTGTTTCTTGGAATGACGGTGGAGTCTTCAGAATGCTGGTGTCCCTTTTCCCATTCCCTCCCTCATTGGAGAGAATTTACATCCGAGGCAGATGGAGGCTGTCTGTGTGCACTGTGCTAGTGTTTGTTGTTTTCCATCCAGTGGGGCCAGAAAACATGGAACTTCTTAGAAATGTAAATGTGTCCAAAGAATCTGAGAGACAGAGACAACTAGAGAGTTACTGGAGTTTGTTTTTAAATCTTGTTCCAAGTAACTAACTTGCTTTGTGAAATCTCTGTAAGCTAAGGGGATGCTCATGAGGGTCACCTCCGGGCCTGGCCAGGTGAGAGAGAACTTCAGCTGCTTGGGGTCAGGTGTTTCTGCATCAAAAGTGTACTCCTCCATCCTCCTACCAGACCTGGTGTGATTCTCAGCGTTCCCCATAGAGCAACCCAAATGGGCTCAAAGAGGGAGTCTATCACTTCAGAAGCACGGGGGTATTTGTAGTGTGCTGGCTACTTTGTGCACACGGGTGCAAATGCCTCATCTCTGATAAAGTTAGCTTGCTTAAGAATGTTGTAAATGATACACCCATTCCACATGCTGTTCTCATGTGAAGTTGAAACTGCCACCATCTACTTTAAGAGTGTAGGTGAAGCACTGTGTAAGTTGTTATTGCACATAAAGCAAACTGTATTTTCTGCATTGCTAAAGTTATATCACATATTAAATTCTATGGAAGTCCTATCAGTTCAGGGTGACCGCGAGTTGTCTGGGGCTTATGGCATCTGTACCGATGTTTTCAGGTGCAGTGAGTTTGTAGAAGATCATTCTGTAAGTGATTCTACTAGAAATGGAAAACTAAAGTTGTCAGTGTTTTTGTAGGAGAGGGAAGGAATTTGTGTCCACAGACTTGCTATGTTATCTTTGATATATAAGGGCAATTCTATACCCATTTCTGGCCTTTTAAAATCTATGAAATGCATTTTATTAAAACCTTCAAACCACCCATAGAAACACTGAAAAATTAAAGCTTTTGGAAATTTCTTGGCTAGGTTAAAAAAGAATTATGAATTATAAATTGATAAAGCTATTACTCAAGAAAGAGAGGAAACTTTGGGGCACAAAAACCGGATAAAATTTGGAAGAAATGATAAGTTTCCATCTGCATCAGTGATATTTTCCTAATAGCTAATGGCTGTTAGTCCTAGATAGCACACAAAGTAGCTTACTCTCCCCCCCACCCCCACCCCCACCCCAGACTCCAGGTATGGATCTTGATGCCTTTCCAATTCATGATGACACAGAGGCTGTTTCTTTAGTGGGTCCTGGGTCAGATTCAGGAGCTTAATGACACTATTCATCTTTTTGGTAGGCAGAATAATGTTCCCCACCAAAAAAAATAATAATAACAAGCCCTAAACCCTGGAACTTATACATAATATATGACTTGGTAAAAAGATCTTTGTGATTAAAATAAAGATCTTCAAATCAGGAGATTATTCTGGAGTATAGGGGTAAGCCTCATGTGACATCACATGCATCCATCTAAGACGGGGATGGACAGAGATTTTCCTGCACACATGGGGGAGGACAGCTGAACCTGGAACCAAGAGATCTGAAGATGTGGCCACAAGCCAGAGACATCCACAGCCCCCAGAAGCCAGAAGCGTAGAACAGACTCCACCCTGGAGCTTCTAGAGGGAGCACAGCCCCACCAACTCCTTCATTTCAGCTCAGTGACACCGATTCTGGACTTCTGGCTTCTAGAACTGTGAAGGAATAAATTTCTGTTGTTTATAAACATTGCATACTTGTTACAACACAGGAAGCTAGTATAGCCGGCCACTGCAGCTGCACACGAGAGCCCGGTGGTGTGACGGCAGCCCGGCCGGCCACTGCAGCTGCACACGAGAGCCCAGTGGTGGGATGGCAGCCCAGCCGACCACTGCAGCTACACACGAGAGCCTGGTGGTGTGATGGCAGCCCGGCTGGCCACTGCAGCTGCACACGAGAGCCCAGTGGTGGGACGGCAGCCCGGCCAACCACTGCAGCTGCACACGAGAGCCCAGTGGTGGGACGGCAGCCCAGCCGGCCACTGCAGCTGCACCCAAGAGCCTGGTATGAAGGCAGCCCAGCTGGCCACTGCAGCTGCACCCGAGAGCCTGGTGTGAAGGCAGCCCAGCCGGCCACTGCAGCTGCACACAAGAGCCCGGTGGTGTGAAGGCAGCCGGCCGGCCACTGCAGCTGCACACGAGAGCCTGGTGGTGTGAAGGCAGCCCAGCCGACCACTGCAGCTGCACACGAGAGCCTGGTGGTGGGACGGCAGCCCGGGCGGCCACTGCAGCTGCACACGAGAGCCTGGTGGTGTGACGGCAGCCTAGCCGGTCACTGCAGCTGCATACGAGAGCCTGGTATGAAGGCAGCCTGGCCGACCACTGCAGCTACACACGAGAGCCTGGTGGTGTGACAGCAGCCCAGCCGGCCACTGCAGCTGCACACGAGAGCCTGGTGGGACGGCAGCCCAGCCGGTCACTGCAGCTGCATACGAGAGCCTGGTATGAAGGCAGCCTGGCCGGCCACTGCAGTTGCACACGAGAGCCTGGTGGTGTGACGGCAGCCCGGCCGGCCACTGCAGCTGCACACGAGAGCCTGGTGGGACGGCAGCCCAGCTGACCACTGCAGCTGCACACGAGAGCCTGGTGGTGTGACGGCAGCCCAGCCGGCCACTGCAGCTGCACAGGAGAGCCTGGTGGTGTGACAGCAGGAGGTTCTTAGATTGTCCTTCTGCTGAGTATTGGGATAGGGTTCCCCTTCCTTCCGCTGTGAGTGGCCTTAGTGATTTGCTTGTCTGATAGATACGATGTGGCAGAAATGATGTTCTGGGACTCCCAAGGCTACATCAGAAGAAGCCTTGTAGATTCTCCCTGGGTCTCTGGGGACACTAATTCTCGGAACTCAGCCACAGCGAAGCATGAAACTGACAACCAGCACGACCTCCCAGCTCTGAGAGCGAGTCATCTAGGAGTTGTCAGCCCAAGTCAGACTATCTCAGCCAGTGCTGTGTGGTATGGACAAGCCGTCCTCACCACACCTGAGAAAACTGTGGAGATGTGTGAGAACTTTGGAGGTATTTGTCACATCACAAAGGTAGAGCAAACTTAAAAAAAGAGTGAGAGAGAATACTGCTGTCCTGTGTTCCTGCCTCCCAAATCCTCCCATGTGATTTAATTAGCCTGGCCTGGGCTTGCCCTGTCTTCAGAGCACTCCAGATGATCCCAATGTGTGTCTAGGGTTGTGAGCTGAATAATTGTGCCATTCTGAATAAAGAATTAGGCAGTGGTA